CTTGGAAGATTCCTAGCAAGAGTCTGGGCCCCAATTGCCAGAAGTCCTGGTACTAGACCTTCCAAGACATGGTGAAGCATAGCATCCCTCGAGTTCCAGTGGGCACAGAGATGGGAGGATGCTCTTTCTGCGGTGACTTACATCCTTTGCACTGATTCCATTGAACCTGATGGGGATGCCTGGCAGGGAATCTGGATGGCTATGGCCAAGGAACAAATCCATAAAACCAAGAGCCCATCCCAATTGTATCCTTGTTTCCTTTTACAATACTGCTTGGTGGCCCAGGCACTGGCTCTGGCCCATCTTGCCCCAGTTGAGCCTTTCACCTGGAAGCCAAGTATGGGGAAATTCTACAATATAAGCTGGGGAATGGAGAAACCTGACCAGAAAAGTGGCTCCCTAACTCCTAATACACTCCTGCAGCTTGATTGGAACTTAAAAAGAAATGACAAGTACCTTAAAATTCCATATATTCAGGCCTTTTATAAGTTGGCTTGCTGCCCACATATCCATTCCTCTTGCTGCATTTTTGTGTTGGCTCACCAGACCCCGGCTAGGGGTATAAAAGGGACCCACAAAAACAAAGAGGTGCTGATTCCTCTTCTCTCCCCTTTAATAAACTTTTTTTCTTTGCCTAACGATCAGTTCACTCTCTTGTCTTCTCTGCACTCACCTTACAAACAACAGCCAAAATTCACATGTTGAAGTTCTAACCCCATACCTCAGAATGTGACTGTATTTGGAGAAAAGGCCCCTGCTTATGTAATTAGTTAAGGCAGAATGAGGTCTTACTGGTGTAGAGTGGGTTCCTAGGCCACTATGACGGATGTCCTTATAAAAAGGGGAAATGTGGACACAGACATACCCACAGGGAGAACATCATGTGAAGAGGAAGGCAGAGACTGGGGTGATGCATCTACAAGCCAAGGAATGCCAAGGATTGACAATAGCCTCAGAAACTAGGAGAGCATTGGAAATGGATTTTCCCTCATAGCCCTCAGAAGGAGCCAATCCTAAGACACTTTGATCTTGAATTTCTGGCCTTCAGAACTGTGAGACCATATATTTCTGCTGGTTCTTTTTCTTTTGAGTAGGAGTCTCACTCCATCAGCCAGGCTGGAGTGCAGTGGCGCGCTCGTGGCCACCCCAGCATCGACCTCCTGGGCTCCAGCAGTCCTTCCGCCTCAGCCTTCCAAATAGGCGGAACTACAGGTGAGTGCTACCACGCCTTGCTAATGTTTTTGATTTGTTGTAGCAATGAGGTTTCGCCAAGTTGCCCAGGCTGGTCTCAAACCTGCAGGCTCAGGCAATCCACTCGCCTCGGCCTCCCAAAGTGCTGGGATTACAGACTGGGCCACCGAGCCCGGCCTATTTCTGCTGTTTAAGACACCCAGTTGGTGGTGCTTTGTTACGGAAGCCCATAAGAACTAATATAGGCCTCATATAGCATGTGTGGGGCCCACCTCATGACAGCAAAGGCACCAGTAAGGGGCACATGACCACGAGATCCCCTGATCATATCACAAACTGCACTGCTCAGGAGCTGCCAGTCTGGAAGAACTACTGAGCAGCCCGTTGAAAGTACAGGTGAGGGCCAGGCGTGGTGGCACAAGCCTGTAATTCCAGCACTTTGGGAGGCTGAGGTGAGGGGATTGCTTGAGCCCGCGGGTTCGAGACCAGCCTGGGCAACTTGGCAAGACTCATCTCTATAATACATCAAAAAATTAGCCGGGCATGGTGTGTGCACCTGTAGTCCCAGCTACTTGGAAGGCTGAGGTGGAAGGATCTCCTAAGCCCAGCGGGTTGATGCTGGGGTGGTCGCAAGCCACTGCACTCCAGCCTGGGCGATGGAGTGAGACTCCAACTCAAAAAAGAAAGTGCAGGTGAGATGCCAGCTTGGAATGATGCCCCGTGAGGGCGGGGCCTTGTCCTTTAGCACCTGGCATGCACCCAGAATCAACAATCATTGTGTGATGCTCTGTCCCCAGTAGGTAGAACACACAGGTTCAGGAGTCAAGGGGTGGAAGCAGGAGGGACCCTGCTCATCCTCATTCCTGGTGATCTACTTGGGGAAATTGGTACTCTCTGTCCATGTGATTTTAGGTTCCATGAATGTAACTGGGGTCAGCAAACTGTCCCATGCACCAAATATGGCCCATGACTTGTTTTTGTATGCCCATGAAAGGTTTTTGATTTTTAAAAAATTATTACATTCAAATGGTTAGATAAGTGCCTACTTAATTTCAATTTTACCTCTTGGTCTGCAAAGCCTAAACTATTTTCTATCTGGCCCTTTAAGAAAGTTTGCTGACCCTGGTCCAAAGGGTTCCCAGAGTGGCAGTGTTTCCATCAGGGGACACAGTATGAGGCCTGTTAAGCTTTAAGCTATGAGCTAGGTGTAGTGACTCACACCTGTAATCCCTACACTTTGGAAAACTGAAGTGGGAGGATTGCTTGAGCCTAGGAGTTTAAGACCAGCCTAGGCAATACAGCGAGACCTCATCTCTACAAAAAAAAACCAAGAAAATTAGCCAGGCATGGTGGTGTATGACTGTGGTCCCAGCTGCTCTGAAGCCTGAGGCAGAAGGATCTCCTGAGCCCAGGGAGTCACAACTGTGGTGAGCCGTGATCATGCCACTGCAGTCCAGCCTAGGCGACAGAGTGAGATTCTGAATCAAAACAAAAACAAAACCCCTTTAAGCTCTGGTTGCCATCTCTTCATGCCAAGAGACCAGCAGGCAAGGAAAAGGGTCACCACATTGATCACCAAGAGGAGATGAGGCTGTCTCTACATCATGGAGGGCACCTGATAGAGTCACTGAGTCACTGGAGCATCTCCCAGTACTCTCCTGCCCAATACTGACAGCCTGTGGACAAGGAAAGCAGCCATTGCCTGCGATGGGCCTAGGGACCAGAGGCTCAATCCTCTCGGGGATGAGGGCTGGGCCACCCCATCAGGTCAGCAGCCCCTGCCAGCAGAGGCTAGTCACAGGAGAGGAGAGAGGGGACTCCCAAAGGGACAGCAGAGGAAGGAGATCATGGACATTACTTGTGGTACTGACCCAGCTACAGCAGTGGGGGCTGGAGTTTGTTCCACTCGTCTTGCTCTTGTTACCTTCCCCAGGAAAGAGATCATCTCAGAGCCTGGAAGAGCTGCTCCTGGGAAGGCATGTGGTATGAGGTGTGGACTGTAATGGACACTGGTGTGCCGCTTAACTGTCCCTCCAGAATGGGGCACCCCTCCCTCCCAGCTGCCAGGAATACTGGCAGCTGATGTCTCATGCCTCGGGCTAAGTTAGGCTCCTTTCCTGGGGTTAGCCCATATCCAGCACATGGTCAATGTGGGGTGCACAGGCCCACAGCTCATGCCTCAGCTTGGGACATCTCCCCAGTGCCACCCCAGCTCGAGAGCCCTTGTGGGATTGGCTGAGGCTTCTGTTGTGGCTGCATGGCAGCTCGACGTATCTCTCTCTGCCCCATCCTGCTACCTTTGTTTCCTTAGAAGTATTATTCCCAAAGGTACTCCCCATTAAGTCGTAACAATTTTTTTTTTGAGTAGGAGTCTCACTCTGTCACCCAGACTGGAGTGCAGTGGCCGCTCCTGGCCACCGCAGCCTTGACCTGCTGGGCTCCAGCGATCCTTTCGCCTCAGCCTTCCAAGTAGCCGGAATTACAGGCATGCGCTACCATGCCCGGGTGATTTTTTTGATTTAATGTAGAGATGAGGTCTCGCTGCCCAGGCGGGTCTCGAACCCGTGGGCTCGGGCAATCCATTCACCTCAGCCTCCCAAAGGCGCGAGATTACAGGCTGAGCCACCGAGCCCGGCTCAATAATTTTTTTAAAAATAAAAAATGTTTTTAGAGACAGGGTCTTGCTCTGTCTCCCAAGCTGGAGCACCGTGGCATGATCATAGCTCACTGCAGCCTCCAACTCCTAGGCTCAAGCAATCTTGCCTCAGCCTCTTAAGTAGCTGGGACTATAGGTGTGTGTCACAGTACCTGGCTCCCATGAAGCCTTTTTTAATGGAAATTTCCACCTCAAAGTTTGTTTTCTGGGAAATGAGACCAAAGATAGGTCCCTTTGGGGTCTGGGCTTGGTATCTTTTCATTTTCAATTGTCTGTGTACGTACAGAATTTCACTTTTTTTTTTTTTGAGTTGGAGTCTCACTCCATCACCCAGGCTGGAATGCAGTAGCACACTCATGGCCACCCCAGCGTTGACCTGCTGAGTTCAGGCAATTCTTCTGCCTCAGCCTTCCAAGTAGCCAGAACTACAGGCACACGCCACCATGTTCAGCTAATTTTTTGATTTATTATAGAGATGAGATCTCACCAAGTTGCCCAGGCTGTTCTCGAACCTGTGGGCTCAGGCAATCTTCTCACCTCGGCCTCCCAAAGTGTTGGGAATTCAGGCGTGAGCCACTGCACTTGGCCAGGAATTTCATTTCTTAATGCCTCCTCAGTCCTATAGCCATTTGCCAGGTACAACCTTTCTTCTGTCTAAACTTTTACAAAAGAGCCTTTCTAAAACCCAGGACACAAATCTCAGAATTCCAATCGCTCCCAGATATTCCAAAACGGAAAACGTGCCTCTTCCTCTTTCCTTTCTCTACTCCTGGATATTTGCTGGCACTTAACCTAGAGTTTTCTCTTTCTTTTCTTCACCCTGAGCTCTGCTTTTTCCCTTCCTGCCCCAGAATCATCACCTTTGCTCCCCAAGGACTTGGGGCTTTGAGTAGTGAAAGTCACAGAAGGGGCAAGTTCCCGGTTTCAGGAAGAGCTTTTGAAACAAACCTTTGCCTCCCTCTTCAGGGCTGTTCCTTGACCTCAGACTTGACCTTGACCTCAGACTGAAATGGGCATGGAGAATGAGCTGGCATGGAAGATGCATGTTTTTCTTCTGGAAAACAGGCTGTCTGGAATTAGGTGGCCCTGACTTGGAAGGAAAGCTCTTTCTAATCAGTGTTTTCTAAAACACATCTTACTCCGTGCTACCTACCTCTTTCAGGTGCTGTGGAAGAGAATTCCTGGGGGAGAAGGTGTACTTTGTTTTCTTGTAAATGCACCACAGCAAGGCGAAGCAGCCCAAGAGCACCAGGAAGACCATGAAGACCGAGGCTATGAGGATGATGGCCACCAGCCAGGAGGGGACTGTGTCTGCCAGGGATAATGGGGTGTGTCATATTCTTGTCACAAGTTGGGTCACAGTGATTTCCTAAGATCTTTTTTTTTTTTGAGTCACAGTCTCACTCTGTTGCCCAGGCTAGAGTGCAGTGGCACAATCATGGCTCACTGAAGCCTTGACCTCTAGGCTCTGGCAATTCTTCCGCCTCAGTCTCCAGAGTAGCTGAGACTACAGACAGGTGTGTGCCACCATACCTGGCTAATTTTTAAAATTTTACATTATTTTTTTGTAGAGACAAAGTCTTGCTATGTTGCTTAGGCTGGTCTTGAACTCCTGGGCTCAGGCAATCCTCCTACCTCAACCTCCCAAAGTGCTGGGATTATAGGCATGAGCCACCACGCCTGGCCCTAAGTCCATTTTAACCATCACAGTCCAAAGGCAATCCCTGAAAACAGGGCCTATATGTCCATCTTGGAAGACATCTCAGAAATGCAGCAGCTGGTTGGAGGAACCGAGGTTTTCAAAGAGTTTCACCGTGTTCCTATCTTCTTCAAAGTTTGGTTTCTGGCATTATTGTCAACATACACAAAAAGAACAATGAGCACAAATTCTGATCCACTGTATCTACTTGCAGGGTAGCAGTGAACCTCTTGGTTCTGGATATACTTCTTTTGCCTTGAAGCAGCAAACAGGACTCCCCTGGGCATATGTGTATCTCCTACAACCCTGGAGTATCTTTCTTAAGGACCTGACAGCCATGCCTTTGAAATCAGAAAGGCCAGTGCCTCTGTCTCTCAGTCTCTGTGGGTGAAACCTCACCTTGATAAATGCCAGTTCATACTCACAGATGGCCTAACTCTCTTATCTGATTTTTGTAATATTTTTCATTTCCCTGAATCATTCTCCCTCAATACTTCCTCATTCTTCCTTTAAAATACCTCTGTGTAAGGCCGAGATGGGAGGATTGCCTGAGCCCATGGGTTTAAGACCAGACTGGGAAACTTGGCGCAACCTCATCTCTAATAAATTAGCAGGGTGTGGTGGCGTGTGCCTATAGTTTCAGCTACTTGGAAGGCTGAGGTGGAAAAATCACCTGAGCCTAGCAGGTTGAGACTGTAGTGACCGTTAGCATGCCACTGCACTTCAGCCTGGGCGAGAGAGTGAGACTCCAACTCAGAAAAACAGCTCCCCCCTACAAAACTAAAAAATCCTCTGAGGCCAGGTGGAGTGGTTCATGCCTGTAATCCGCACTGTGGGAGGCTGGGGTGGGAGAATTGCTTGAGCCTAGGAATTCGAGACCAGCCTGGGCAACACACTGAGACCTTGTCTCTATTAAAAAAAAAAATGGCTGGGTATGATGGCTCACATCTATAATCCCAGCACTTTGGGAGACCGACATAGGAGGATTGTTTGAGCCCACAGGTTTGAGACAACTTGGAGAGAACTCATCTCTACAATAAATCAAAAATTAGCTGGGCATGGTGGTGCACATCTGTAATTCCAGCTACTTGTAAGGCTAAGGCAGAAGGATCACCTGAACCCAGCAGGTTGAGGCTGTAATAGCTGTAAGCATGCCACTGTACTCCAGTCTAGGCGTCAGAGTAAAACTCTGACTTGAAAAAAGAAAAAAATGTGTAAGTGGAGCTCAGCTCTTTTCCTGATTATAGTCACAATGGAATGTTTTTGCTGTTTTAACTAATGTCTACCTATGTTTATCTTTCACAAGGTCCAGGATGTTACCGCAGTCACTCATGGTCCTAGCTTCCCTGGTTTGGCTCCAGGACCCTTCTCTGGCTGCCTACCCTATGCCCAACTCCTGCCAACCAACACACCCTCATGAGCATTTGGTGCTGAGAGGGGCCCAGAGAATGAACCCTGCTCTTTTTTTTTTTTGAGTTGGAGTCTCACTCTATTACCCAGACTGGAGCGCAATGGCCACTCCTGGCCACCGCAGCCTCGACCTGCTGGGTTCCAGCAATCTTTCCGGCTCAGTCTTCCAAGTAGCTGGAACTATAGGCGCACACTACCATGTCTGGCTGACTTTTTGATTTATTGTAGAGATGAGGTCTCGCCAAGTTGCCCAGGCAGGTCTCGAACCCGCCGACTCAGGCAATCCACTCACCTCAGCCTCCCAAAGCACGGGATTACAGGCTGAGCCACCGAGCCCAGTTGAACCCTGTTCTTTAAGAGCAAGTTGTTTTAAAGGGACACAGGGCAGATCAAAGAACACTGAAATAGCACACTGATACCGGAGCTATGGTAACGGCAGTCACCTGTTGGCATCTGTGACACTTGTCACAGTGTGTGGCTTACAGTGGACATTCCTTAGGTATCTGCACAGGGAAAGAGGCTCTTTTGTTTCCCTCACCCCCTTTCTTGTCCTCTTGCGTTTCCATTCACACTAGTCCTAACCTCCTACTGCTTCCAGCTCCTCCCACTGTCAGTTTCAGAAGCACTCTTATCCCAGGTCCCCATGAACTTTTGTTTTATGTACCAGAATCCAGGGGTGGTTCCTTCTACTTCACACATTCAGCAAGTTCAACTCAAACATGTTGTGTTTGATTTTGGAAAATATAGGGGCTGGCAGCACTGAGCTGACTGAGTGGCTCCCAGGCCATACCCCAGTTGATAACATGAGGTCACTGTAAGATTTGACATTTCAGCTCTTGAGAAAGTCCCAGGCTCCTACTCATCCATCTGTCCTCTCATTCATATTTCAGTCAGTCTCTAATCTGGCACACATCAGAATCACCTGAAGGCTCACTGAAACACAGACTGCTGGGCCCCACCCCATCTCTGTGTTTTGGATGATGAGCCCCTGCAGAGCGGTGCCTGGTCCTTGTATCTCCAGCTGGGACATCTTAGAATCTTGGACAAAGTAAAAAATGATGTGACAAGATTCAAGGGATGTTTTTGTTAACTCCTCCCAGAGGAAGAGTCCCAGAAGGGGAAGGAAGGAGGACCCTGCTTTCCACAGGTTGTGAACTGTGGGAGAAACTACTCATCCATGCCCTCTGTGTAAGGTTCTCTAACTTCCTTCACATCCATCTGGCCACACTGTGGGGCAGACTGCCATTATCTGTTCTATCCATAAGTATATGGTGCCTCCGTTTACCTGAAATTATTCTGTAAATAGTAAGTTATGAGGGAACATACCTGAGGTTAGATTGGTCTGTTCCGGTTTGTTCTTTCCATTTACTAGCTGAGTAGATTTGGGCAAGTTACTTAATCTCTCTGAATTTTCATTTTCTATTTTACAAAAGGGGAGAAGATCCTTATAATGCTCTCATTGAAAACTTATGAGGTTTAAATGAGATAGGTGTGCTTAAAAAAGCAAAAAAAAAAAAAAAAAACCAAAAAAAAGAGTCGGGCATGGTTCACACCTGTTATCCCAGCACTTTGGGAGGCCGAGATGAGAGGACTGCCTGAGCCAAGGAGTTTGTGACCAACCTGGACAACCAGCCTGGATGGTGAGACCTCATCTCTACAATAAATAGAGATGGACATGGAGGCATGCGCCTGTAGTCCCAACTACTTGGGAGGCTGAAACAGAAGGATTGCCTGAGTTCATCAGTTCAAGGCTGCAGTAGCCATGATTGTGCCACTGCACTCTAGCCTGGGTGACAGAGTGAGACTGCGACTCAAACAAAACAAAGCAAAACCCCAAATGGTGTTTGACAAAAGCTGGTTTTCAATGGTTTATACTCCTTTTATTTTGTAAAATGTTTGGACTTTGTCAGCTAATTGAAATGTTTTCCTTTTTGATTAAATTGTATACTGCATACCATGTTTCGTAACACAAGCGGGCCTGGTGTTCCTCTTTCCATGGTCAGCACCCATTGAGTTTCTTGTCACCTCTTTACACTATAACAAGGCCTGATGTTTGTTTGCAGACATCTGGGCCACAAGTTCTGCAATGCAGCTGTGCATAAATAATCAGCGTCCAGGCCAACTGGTGCCTTCTCCTCTCTCTCTTTCTCCCCTTCCCTTTCTCCCTCTGTTTTGGGAAACACCAACCATGAAGGTAACTCTGCTAGACACTGTGGTCCACACTGTATGTGAATTATGTGAAGGGCTGGGCTGATGTGATGCCCTGGTTCTATATTTTATAAGGGGCCCTGGACCAAGCAGCACAAGCTGAGGACGGTGGTAAGGTTTCCAGAATCTTCCTTCCCATCACATGTGGGCAGGAGCTGGAGATGTGTGGCCTGGGGAGGGAAGACTTCTGGGTTGTGTGGCAGAGCTCAAGCTCTGCTGGGTGGCCTCAGGGGGACCTATGGGCCTTGCTTCAGGGAGGGCAGAATGAGCCTAGCAAAGGGGGGGGGGTTCAAAGAGGCAGACCTTCGATCCCTGAACAGAAAAAGTTTCCCTCCATCTCTCTGTTCTAGGATGAATGAGCTGCCTCAGAAGGGGTTGTCTCCTTCCCAGCAGGAAGTTGATCAGTCAGGGCTGGGAGATCCAGTGGGGTTGATACAGATTTCTCAACTGGGTTGGAGTGTGAGTAGGATACAATGATGTCTAAGGAGCATTCTGGCTTAATGCTCGACCTTAATGCTATTTATGTTCAGTGGAGGCAAGAAGCCTGTCACGACTTACCATCATTGTTTGTTTGCTCACAGACAGGTTCAGTCCATTCCCCGGTTTTGTTCGAATCAGGAAGAAACCCTTGAACTTGAACACAGTAAGTTGTCCATGGCTCCAGATTTCTTAGGACCTCAAAGTCATACTGAGAAGTAATATGAAACTAGTAATGAAGGGGAAAATAAGAACATGACTCAGTAGTGAAAGAAGGCCGTTTTTAAATTTTTTTCTTCCCACACTTTCCAGTTATAATCTCCGCTTCAGACTTAACATAGGAAGAAGTAAGTTGCAGGTGCTTCTCCCCATTCATTTCAGAGTATGCCAGATCATGGCCTGGGTACAGCAAGGATCGTCTGTGATGCTGAGAAACCATCTCATTTCCTGAACTCTATAGCTTAAATGACAAGCAAACAATCCCACTCCTTTTAAAAAAAAATTAAACCAGTTTTAATGGGTTGAACTGTGCCCTACACAAATTCGTATGTTGGAGTCCTAACTCCTGGTACCTGTGGATGTGACCTTATTTGGAAAGAGGGTTTTTACAGATGTCATCCACTTAAAAGGAGGTTATTAGGGTGGGTCCCTAATCCAAGATGACTAGTATTCTTTTTTTTTGAGTTGGAGTCTCACTCTGTCGCCCAGACTGGAGTGCAGTGGCCGCTCCCAGCCACCGCAGCCTCGACCTGCTGGGCTCCGGCGATCCTTCCGCCTCCGCCTTCCGAGTAGCCGGAACTACAGGCGTGCGCCACCATACCTGGCTGATTTTTTGATTGATTGTAGAGATGAGGTCTCGCTGCCCGGGCGGGTCTTGAACCCGCGGGCTCAGGCAATCTACTCACCTCAGTCTCCCAAAGGCGTGGGATGACAGGCTGAGCCGCTGAGCCCGGCTTAGTATTCTTATAAAAAAGAAGAAATCTGGACACGGACAGGCAGGCACACAGGGAGAAGGCCAGGTGAAGACGGAGGCAGAGGTTGGGGTGATGCCTACATAAGCCAAGGAATGACAATTGCCAGCAACCACCAGAAGCCAGGGGAGAGCCTAGAACAGATCCATTCCTGGCACCTTTGGAGGAAGCATGACCCTATAGACACCTTGATCTCAGACGGTCAGCCTTCAGAGCTGTTAGACAATAAGTTTCTATTGTTTCAGCCCTTGCGTCTGTGCTATTTGTTACAGCATCCCTAGCAAACTAATACACCAATCATATGCAGTAAGATGCAATGTGATTTTCTTTCTGAGTGAAGCGCATGGTATAGATCCTGGGGGCCTGGGTCTCTCCTGACTCACTTCTCCACTGGGCTTGGGCTGCCTCCCCCAGATGTCCTATCTCACCTCCAGGGCACACACCACAGCCTGCTTCTGCTCTGGGTGGGCATCACTGACTTAGTTCAATTTGACTGTAAGATATCATAATTAATATATCTCTGAATCTGAGAAGCCAAAACGGTTCCTGGCAAAACAAAGGGAATTCCTAAGTATACAAAGTGAGCATGGACTCTTTTTTTTTTTTTTTTTTTTTTTTACCTTAGCAGTTAGTTATTTTTCTTTGGGGTTGGGATTGTTGGTTGCTTGTCTGTATTTGTGTATCATATGAGAAGCCAAATTCATGGAGGTCAACAATTGGATTAGACCTCTTAAATACATGAAGAGTATGGTTCCCTTCCTCCCTCTCTCCCTCCCTCCCTCCCTCCTTTCTTTCCTTCCTTTATTCAGTTTGAATCTCACACTGTCTCCCAGGCTGGAGAGCAGTGGCACAATCACTGCTCACTTCAGCATCACCTCCTGGGCTCAGGAGATCCTTCTACCTCAGCCTCCCGAGTAGCTGAGACTACAGGCATGTGCCACCATACCTGGCTAATTTTTTGATTTCTTGAACAAAGTCTCGCTCTGCTGCCCAGGCTGGTCTTGAACCCTTGGGCTCAAGCAGTCCTCCTGACTGGGCCTCCCAAAGTGCTGGGATTACAGGCATGAGCCACCACACCTGACCAGAGTATGGTTTAACTTCCAATAAGTATATTGAAAAACCAAAACCAAACCAAACCAAACCAACCCCCGGCTTTCATTTCCAGAAGTCTGATGTCTAAAGCCTTATGAGGCAATTTTTAACAATACTAAACTCAGAGGCCAAACTATAAGCAGTAAGCAGTCAAGGTGGTGGCACAACTATGAAGGGATCTCAAGTCCCCTGTGGAGCTTCTTCTGTCCTTTGACTTCTGGGCAACTTCTGGCTTTTATTGTCTCACTTTCTCCCAACGGGAAAAAGGATTTCCAGAAGTCCTTCCTGCTAAGAGACCAAATCTGGCACTGTCTGAGGAATCTCTGCATTCTAGAAGGGAACCATATAAACCAGTAATGATGACATCTCAGGCACCATTGAGAGAAGCCGTGGAGCAGTTAGCTTTTCCATACTCGATGTGTCACACTGAAGGCTGCCACACAATCAGCCGAAGTGAGAGGACAAATGTGTAACCAGGTCAGTGAGAGGACTAAAATAACCAGATACTTGTGCTGTGGGCATGTTCTAGATAAGAGACTAAATATAAAGTGGGGTTTGCATTCACACTTGCAGCGGGAGACACTCATCCATGGTGACTATGGAACGGGATCCTTAATTGGACTCTGTTGCTAACCCCTAGAGGGAAGCCATCTTTGTACTCCAAGGCTTTGCAAAGGTACCTGCATTTGATGAATGATTGTGAGTCCCCCCAAATTCACGTGTTGTAACTTAATTGCTAGTGGGATAGCATAGGAGGTGGGCCATGAGATAATGATGAAATCACGAGGGCAGAGCTTTCAGGAATCAGTGACTTCACAAGATGGAGCAAGGGAACTATTCGCCCTTTTGCCCTTCCTCCTACCAAGGGAGGACACAGTAATCGGGTGCCATCATGGAACCAGAGAGCACCGGTGCACACCAGACACCGAATCTGCTGGTGCCTTGATCTCAGACTTCCCAGCCTATAGAACTGTGAGAAATACATTTCTATTGTTTATAAATTACCCAGTCTCTGGTATTTTGTTATAGGATCAGGAACCAACTAAGACCACTGCATCATTTAATGGAGCATTTTTTGGGGGGGTATTTACTTGAGATTTTTTGGGGGGCTATGCAGTGTATATTTAAATTTAATTACATCATTCCTCAGATTAACATGGTGATTCCCTCTTCTCAAACTCTAAGAATTAAGTGATAAAATCAATGTTTAATGTGGAAGAGACAACATACACGTAATATAACTTACATAACATATATATGTCAGTTTAGGACCACCAATAGCATTCAACTCAGAAGCGGTAAGTGTAAGAATAAAACTTGACTAAGGATGAATAAAAATAAACTTAACAAGTCTACATAAAGGGAAGAACATCTCACATATTGGACATATACATTGTTCCAGGCAATGGGATGAGTTTATGGTTTTCATTATGCTATTAAATTCCCTAACAATTCTATGAAGTAGGCTATTTTCCCATTTTATTAATGAAGTAAGTTATGATGTCCATTTTGGAGACTTGAGAAAGCTAGGGTCAAGAATGTGACCAGAGGTTCAAGGTGGCAGGGGCAACTATTCCAACTGGGTCTTTCATCTCCAAGCCCATGTTTTTAAAGGAAGAAGGCAGCAACAGGGGAAAGTTGGAGTCAGAAAGGTAGAATGTAACACTGTTCATCTAGGGTCCAGTAGAGTAGCTTCTGTGACCATGGACTTTCCTGATTGCAGTACGTGTGGGACACTGGGGTTGATGCCATGAGATAGTAGTCATTTGCTGATCACCTACTTCAGCCAAATCCAAGTTCCCCCAGACAATTCTGATTCAGCTCTCCTTCCTCTGCAACTTCCCTTCAGGGGGAGAAAGGTCTGCTCTCACTGTGCAGACTTCATCCTGAAAGTCTATTCTAGGCATTTCCCTTGGGGGTCTGGGAGGCTTGAACCAGAGATACCAGTCATCCCTCAGTCTCAGAAGCTCCTGGCTTTCAGAGGACCAGGCCTTAGATCCTCTGGACTGTTTGTAAGGTGCTGCCAGTTTGTAAGACTCTGCGTGGATGGCCTCCTGACCTTTTCTCTCCGTCGTAATGGCCTCAGGCCAAAACTTGGAACATGGAAACTTACATGTGAAATGGGATTAGCCAAGCTTACCTTTTCATCAGTACCATTTTTCCAATATTGCACATTGTAAGTCCATGAGTTGTAAATATTCTTCATGGTCCATGTTTCATGTTCATTCTCAATTTTGGGGGCTAAAAAACGCATATGTAAAGAATCAGCAAGCACTTCTACGTGTATTCCAGGAGGTCCAATAATGGCTAAATACAAGAACAAAGCAAAATGACAATCAAAAATCACATTTTAAAAACTTCATTTCAGCATTAATTTTTCATAACCATGCAGAACAATAAGTCTACCAAAGTATACTGCTCTTTGATGTATCATTGCTACGACACTGATTGATGTGGCTAAGGATAGTTAGACTTAGTTTCTTTTAAAAAAAATCCAATAATCATTTGTTTTTATGAATTGAGTTTAGTCCATTTATGTTTATTGTGATTTCAGATACATAGGGACTTATTCCAACTACAATATTCTTGTTTTCTGTAAAGACTGCTTTGCAAATTTTTATTTTTGGCTTCTTCTTCTTCTCTTTTTTTCTGATTTCTGTTGGTTTAAATTTAATTTCCTTTGCTAGGCAGTAAGCTACAGAAGGTATTTCTATTATTTTTAGTGGCCACCCTTAAATGTATAACATATATAATTAACCACATATATTTTTCCAACAAAATCTAAGGCTATTTCCCTTCTGAATGCTCTTTTACTACCTATTCATGTGGCAGGCCCTGTCACTTCATTTAGGTCTCTGTTCAAATGCCACCTCCCAGAGAGACTATATCTTACCATCCTATGTAAGAGTGGCTCCTACCACGTTATGTCTTATAATCTTGCTTTAGTTTTCTTGAAAATCACAATCATGCTAGGTATGGTAGTTCATGCCTATAATCCCAGCACTTTGGGAGGCAGAGGCGAGAGGACTGCCTGAGTTTAGGGGTTCGAGACCAGCCTGGGCAACTTGGCGTCACCTCGTCTCTACAATAAATAAAAAAAAGTAGCTGGGCGTGGTAGCACACGCCTATGGTTCCAGCTACTTGGAAGGCTAAGGTGGAAGGATCGCCTGAACCCAGTAGGTCAAGGTTGCAGTGGCTGTGAGCATGTCACTGCACTCCAGCCTGGGCAACAGAGTGAGAGACTAACTCAAAAAAAAAAAAAGGAAAGAAAACCACAGTCACTACCTATCATACAATATGTATCTATTTGTTTATTATTTGTCTTCCTCATTAGAATATATGGTTATGAGGGCAGGAATTTTATCTGGTTCACTGTTATAGCTTTAGTACTCAGAATGTGCCTGGCACATCAATGTGCTCAATAATAACTATTAAATGATTAATAAATAGTCTGGACAACTGTGGTGCTTGAGTTATGCCCTGTATTTTTCTCTGGCTGTAGTTACTTTTTCAGGGCTCTCAGTGGACCTGCTTCTATTATTTGAATCTGCTGGTCTGAAAATCAGACAAGAAAACTTGTTGGATATTTTTCTAAAGAAAGAAAAATAGGTCTGCCTGACATCTTGGAGCATTTTCCTGTCACTACTCTGTATAAACCTCAAGAGGCTAATATTCAATAGATGGTAGTAGTTGCTAAGGCATGGGTGCAGGAGCCTGGGTCTTGTTACCTGTGTGACCTTTTGACAGGGAGCTTAACCATTTTGTACCCCACTCTCTATTTTATTTTTTGAGTCAGAATCTTACTCTGTTACCCAGGCTGCAGGGCAGTGGCACACTCAGGCCACCGCAGCCTCTATCTGCTGGGCTCAGGTGATCACTCCGCCTCAGACTTCCAAGCAGGCATGCGTGACCACGCCCAGCTAATGTTTTGATTTATTGTAGAGACGAGGTCTTGCCATGTTGCCCAGGCTGGTCTCAAACCCGTGGGCTCAGGCTATCCTCTCACCTCTGCCTCTCAATGTGCTGGGATTACAGGTGTGAGCCACCATGCCCGGTTGAACCTCACTTTCTAAAGGGAACTTCCATAGATGGGAAAGATTTGGAACCAGTTAGGACATGTTGAATCAGTTATCAATTATCGTAGAGGAAGTCTGTACTCTGATTATTGAAAAAAAACCGTATTTTTTTGTGTTTATTTTTTTCTTTGTTTTTAATAAAAGTACCTTTAGAAAAAATAGTATGACTTTGATGATTTCTGATTCCAGAAATAAGAGGTTTTTGCCCAAGCTTGGGAGAAAATTAGGAAAGGGAGAAAGACATCCTCTATCAGGGAGGAGGTAAGAGTGGGAGCCACAGTGGGGGAGGGGAGTCCATAAAGGGGACTCATTCCCACATAGAGACATTTTAGTGCTTCTCTTTGTATACTACTTGAAGGACTGTTGTCAGTTTTGTTAATTGGGTTCTTGTAGCTCTAAATCCTCTTTACTCTCTTTGTTGCTATATAGTGGGTTAATTAGTTTTCAATGCCTGATATTCTAAATACGTTCAGTGCATAACCTCTGATGGGTCCCACAGCCATCCAGATCTAACCAGCGAACATTCTTTTTGATGCTGACCAGCCTGCCTCACCCAACCCATCTGCCATCGGCCATACCCTTCCTTCTGTCCTTGGTTTCAGGCAACCTGTCTGCTGTGGGTCCTTCTGTCTCTACACTTGCCTTCATTCTTTTGCCTATTGTGTAACATTTCTTTTTTTAAGTCATAGTTATAAGTTGACTTCCTCCCAGAAACTGAACCACATGAATCCTTTCAGTTCCTCTCATTAACATTGCGGGTCCAACTCACAACCTCAAGGCACTGAAGTTATTAAATTTATATTTAATTATTTTATCGATGATATGCCTATTCTTTCCTGTCTCTCCCATGAACTTTTTTTTTTTTTTGGTAGAGTCTCAATCCGTCATCCTGGCTAGAACGCAGTGGCATGCTCAATGGCCCTCAAAGAATTCTTTTTTTTTTTTTGTTTTTTTTTTGAGTTGGAGTCTCTCTCTGTCGCCCAGACTGGAGTGCAGTGGGCCGCTCCCGGCCACCGCAGCCTCGACCTGCTGGGCTCTGGCGATCCTTCCGCCTCAGCCTTGCAAGTAGCTGGAACTACAAGCGCGTGCTACCACATCCAGCTAATTTTTTGATTTATTGTAGAGATGAGGTCTCACCAAGTTGCCCAGGCGGGTTTCGAACTTTCAGGCTCAGGCAATCCACTCACCTCAGCCTCCCAAGGCACGGGATTACAGGCTGAGCCACCGAGCCCAGCTTCAAAGAATTCTTGTTGATGAAGCAACCAATGTGGAAACAACGAAGGCAAGATGAAGACGTTACAAAAAAGGGAAAACAAAAGGCTTACTGTCATCCACAGGAGAGAAGGTGATGTTTACCCAGTCGGAATGCTCATTTGCAAACTCAGCCCTGACTCTCAAGGTGTGGTAGCCATACTTGGAAATAGTTGAAAAATCACATTCTGTCGAGGCAATCCTCACGCATATATCTTGGAATGTCCTATAACTATACAATCAGAAAGAAATAAATCATGAGCGTTCTAACTTCACTCTCCGTGAGGCTGACCAGTGTTCTACTCCCTTTGCTGTCAAAGACTAATGGAAGATAATGAGAGAAAAATGAAGCAAATTCCTAATTATCTGTTTTAATGAACAGTATGCATCATTTATATTAGCATTTTTCAAACTGTGCTTTAGTGGACAGGTTCAAAGGAACCTCAATGGTCCTTGAGGTATCATAAGGCATTTCAAAAACGATCCATCCCAAGGTCAAATAATTTGGGGGAAAAAATTGAGTTTAATATAAAAACAGGTGTCTTCAAGGCCAGGCGCTGTGGCTATGCCTGTAATCCCAGCACTTTAAGAGTCTGAGGTGAGAGGACTGCTTGAGCCCAGTAGTTTAAGATCAGCCTGGGCAACATAGAGAGACTTCATCTCTAGAAAATATTTTAAAAAGGTATCTTCAAAGCAGAATGTCTCAGAGAGTTTAACATTCTGGAAAGCACATGCCCCTCCAACATGTGTTGACCAAGAAAGCTTCCTTCCTTGGTTATATGTTTCTGAAAGCAGTAGTACATGGTTTGTGAGATATTGATATACACAGATTAACCAAAATAAGGACATTACAATGATTTCTAATAGTCACATGCTACTGTATAATAATGTTTTGGTCAACAATGAATCACATATACAATGGTGGTCCCACAGACGTAATACCATAATTTTGCTGTACATTTTCTAAGTTTAAATGTGTTTAGAAATAGACACACCTCATTTTATTGCATTTTGCTTTATTGCAGTTCACAGATACTGTGTTTTACGAATTGAAGGCAATCCTGTGTCAATTCTCTTGGTGCCATTTTTCCAACAGCATGTGTTGATTTTGTGCCTCTGTGTCACATTTTGGTAATCTCATAATATTTCAGACTTTTTCATTATCCTGATATCTGTTATGGTTATCTGTGATCAGTGACCTCTGACATTACCATTGTAATTCTGGGGCACTATGCATCACACCTATATAAGACGGTGAACTTAACTGGTAAATGTGTGTGTTCTGACTGCTCCATCAACGAGCCATTTTTCTCTCTCTCCCTCTCCTTGGATTTTTCTATTCCCTGAGATTCCCTGAGAGACAACAATATTGAAATTAGGACAGTTAATGACTCTATGATGGCCTTTAAGTGTTTAAGTGAAAGGAAGAATCACACATCTCTCACTTTAATTAAAAGCTACAAATGATTAAGCCTAGTGAGGTGGGGATGTCAAACACTGAGATAGGCCAGAAGCTAGGCCTCTTGCATCAACTAGCTAGCCAAGTTGTGAATGCTAAGGAAAATTCTTGAAGTTAAATGTGAAACTCCAGTGAACACCCTAATGATAAGAAAGCAAAATAGCTTTATTGCTGACACGGAGAAAGCCTGAGTGATATGGATAGAATATCAAACTAGCCACAACATTCCCTTAAGTCAAAGCCTGACCTGGAGCAAGGCCCTAACTCTTCAGTTGTATGAAGGTTGAGAGAGGTGAAGAAGCTGCAGAAGAAATGTTTGAGGCTAGCAGAGGTTGGTTCATAAGCTTTAAGGAAAGAAGCTGTCACTATAACACGAAAGTACAAGGTGAAGCAGTCAGTGCTGATGGAGAAGCTGCTGCTAAGTGGTTCTCCAGAAGATCTAGCTTATCATTGGGGAAGCTGCTACACCAAACAAAACATTTTCAATGTACACAAAATAGTTTTCTATTGGAAGATGCCATTTTTCATAGCAAGAAAGGAGAAGTCAATGCCTGATTTCCAAACTGTAAAGGACAGCCTCTACAATTCTCTTGTGGAGGTTAATGTAGCTGGTGACTTTAAATTGAAACCAATGTTCATTTCCCATTCTGAAAAATCTGAGGGCTCCTAAGATCTATGCTGAATTTACTCTGCCTGTGCCCTGTCTGCAACATTCCCAAGGTGTACCTGTATACAAATACTTACCATTGTATTACAACTGCCTACGGTCTTCAGTACAGTAACATGCTGTATAGGTTGTGTTCTAGAAGCAATAGGCTACACCGTCTAGCCTAAGAGTGTAGTAGGCTATTTCATTTAGGTTTGTGTGAATACACTCTACAATGTTCACACAATGACAAAATCACCTTACCACACATTTCTCAAAGCCCATCACTTGTAAGCAATGCATGACTGTACTGTACTGTCCTACAAATCATGACCATCATTGCAATTACCCTAGAAAAATTATAAACAATCCATCCATCTCAGTGAGAACTCCAGCCCTGACAGCAACCACTAACGGGAGCATGACAGAAACGTGAAGTGGAAGTGACATTTGGAGATGGCTACTGGATGCCACGCAAATAGGGTCTCCCACAACTTAGCCTCACAACGGTCAGAAGTGATGTGATTAGCTTTACCTAACCTAAGGAAATCCAGGCTCTCGTCCTGCAAAAAGTGAGGAGGCTGTCTGACTGGCCCCCGCAAGGTATCTACTATTCAGGTGCCAAAGCCAACTTAGCTGCCTTTAGAAGTGCCGATAGGCTGGGCACGGTGGCTTATGTCTATAATCCCAGCACTTTGAGAGGCCGAGGTGAAAGGATTGCCTGAGCCCACGGGTTCAAGCCCAACCTAGGCAACCTGGTGAGACCTCATCTCTACAATAATAAAAAAATCAGCCAGGCGTGGTGGCACGTGCCTGTAGTTCCAGCTACTTAGAAGGCTGAGGTGGAAGGATCACCTGAGCCGAGCAGGTCGAGGCTGCTGTGGCTGTGAGTGTGCCACTGCACTCCAGCCTGGGTGACAGAGTGAGACTCCAACTCAAAAAAAAAAAAGAAGTGCCGATAAAGGTGATGGTGACAAAAATAACTGCCAACATTTATTGAGTATTTAGGGGTCAGGTGTGGAGAGCCTAAGAAATCTGCCCAGCTGAATGAATTTAGATTTATTTGACTTTAGAGCCCATAGTTTCAGGAAGCATGTCACACCTCACTGCATTTTTAGTGATTCCAGAACAATTCAAGTAGGTAGAGATAATTGGGATCATATTACTCTACAATCTTTTTTTTTTTTTTTGAGTTGGAGTCTCACTCTGTCGCCCAGGCTGGAGTGCAGTGGCAGGCATGGCCACCCCAGCGTTGACCTGGTGGGCTCAGGCGATCCTTCTGCTTCAGCCTTCTAAGCAGTCAGAACCACAGGCGTGCGCCACTATGTCCAGCTACTTCTTTTTTTGATTTATTGTAGAGATGAGGTCTTGCCAAGCTGCCCGGGCTGGTCTCAAACCCGTGGGCTCAGGCAATCCACATGCCTCAGCCTCCCAAATTGCTGGGATTACAGGCTGAGTCACCAAGCCTGGCCTACAATATACTTTTTAAATTTAATATATCACAATCATTTTGCCAATAAGTCATATATTAATGGTTGTCTAACATCCTATCATTTGGAAAATCCAAGGATCTAGGGGTCATTTCATTAAGGGGGTGGTCTCACATGTGGTCTCTTCCCTTCTTTCCCTCTTCCTTCCTCCCCTTTGCCCGCCCCTTCTTCCATCCCTCTATCCCTCTCTTCTTCATTTCATTTCATTTTTTTAGAGATGAAGTCATGCTCTGTTGCCCAGGCTAGAGTGTAGTGGTATAATGATAACTCACTGTAACCTTGACCTTCTGAGCTCAAATGAGCTTCCTGCCTCAGCCTCCCTAGTAGCTGGGACTACAGGCTCTTGCCATCATACTTGGCTAATTTTTTTTTTTTAGTTGGAGTCTCACTCTGTTGCCCGGGTGGAGTATGGTGGCACATTCATGGCCACCCCAGTGTCGACCTGCTGGGCTCCAGTGATCCTTCCGCCTCAGCCTTTCAAGTAACCAGAACTACAGGCATGTGCTACCACGTCCAGCTAATTTTTTATTTTATTGTAGAGATGAGGTCTCACCAAGTTGCCTGGGCTGGTCTCGAACCCATAGGCTTAGGCAATCCACTTGCCACGGCCTCCCAAATTGCTGGGATTACAGGCTGAGCCACCGAGCCCAGCCACTTGGTCAATTTTTTGAAAGTTTTTGTACAGAGTCTTGTTATGTTGGCCAGACTGATCTTGACTTCCTGTCCTCAAGCAATCCTCTTGCTTCAGCTTTCCAAAGTGCTGGGATCACAAGAGTTAGCTACTGGGCCTAGCCAATTTTCTTCATTTAAACTAATACACCGCTGGACACGGTAGCTCATGCTTGTAATTCCAGCATTTCGGGAAGTGGAAGTGAGAGGATTACCTGAGCTCAGGGATTCGAGACTAGTCTGGGTAACTTGACAAGATGTCATCTCTACAATAAATAAAAAAAATTAGCTGGGTGTGGTAGTGAGCGCCTGTAGTTTCAGCTACTTGGAAGGCTGAAGTGGAAGGATCACCTGAGTCTAGCAGGTCAAGGCTGCGGTGGCCATGAGCATGTCACTGCACTTCAGTCTGGGTGACAGAATGAGACTCCAACTCAAATAAATAAATAAATAAACAAACAAATAAAGAGCCTAATGCACCAATTGGCCGGCACATATGTAATATTTTAAAAGTTGTTTTGCAATAATTTCTCTTTCACTAAGTTATTTTTACTGTCTATACAACTATTTCTCTCCTCATCAAATAGTCATATGAACTGTTCCCCATGTTTACATCCAATTCTTTTGGATATTTCCATATTAAAATCACCAATAAATCCTCCAAAGTGCCCCCTGTTCTGCCCACTCCACCTCAATACACATATATAACAGAAAGTCTGTGCCATGCAGCTGCTCAGGCTAAATTCTAAACAAATTTTTTGTGGCACCAAAGAAGGGTAATCAGATCTCTTGGCATCAAATCTCTTCCCTAAGGATAAGCCCAGTACATGTTTGCTTTCTCTAGTATGTGCCATGCTTGGTCTGTACTTCCATGAGGAGGAAACATGGAACCCAGGCATGAACTCCTGGTTAATAACTATCTCCTGCCCCTACACTTTCATGAAGTCACTGGGAGCTCTAACTTAAAAGATGAACCCCCCCAAGCGACTCTACTATGATGGCAAAAAGACAAGGCACAGAGCAACAAAAAATAAATGACAAGGGAGAGAGACAGAGAGAGAAGTTTGTTTTCCACAGTGACATCCCTGTGGCTATCCAGTTCAGTGGAAAAAACACAGAGTTGAAAAGATAAAACCAGTCATTACTAGAAAATGTAGCTCAGGAGAAAACAGGCTGGGCACAGTGACTCATGCCTGCAATCCTAGCACTCTGGGAGGAAGGCTGAGGCAGGAGGATCACTTGAGCCCAGGAGTTCAAGATCAGCCTGGGCAACTAGGGAGACCTTATATAAAAAATAAAAATAATGCTAGGTGTGGTGGTATACACCTGTAGTCCCAGCTACTGGGGAGGCTGAGGTGGAAAGATCGCCTGAAGCTAGGAGTTCGGCGCTACATTGAGCTGTGGTTGTTCCACTGCACTCCAGCCTTGGTCACAGAGTGAGACTCTGACTCAAAATAATAAATAAATAAATAGCTGGGCATGGTGGCTCACACCTGTAATCCCAGCCTTTTGGGAGGCAGAGGCAAGAGGATTGCCTGAGTGCAGGGATTCAAGACCGGCCTGGGCAACTTGGTGAGACCTCATTTCTATGATAAATCAAAAAATTAGCCAGGTGTGATGGCACGTGCCCGTGGTTCCAGCTACTTGGAAGGCTGAGGTAGAAGAATCGCCTGAGCCCAGCAGGTTGAGGCTGCGGTGGCTGTAAGCATGACACTGCACTCCAGCCTGGGTGACAGTGAGACTCTAACTCAGAAAAACAAACAAATAAATAGTAGAATGGTCCTTCTTCAATTTTTGGGACAACTGACAAAATTGAACTTTGGACTGTAGATTAGATAACAGTATTGTTATCAGGGTTAAAGCTCTTGAATTTATAACTTATTGTGTGATGTAAAAGACTACCCTTGTTCTTGTGAAATACATACTGAAATATTAAGGGTCAAAGGGCATGATGTATGAGACAGAGAGAGGAGCCGGGAGAGAAAATATGGTAAATGCTAAAAATTGGTTAATCAGAGTGTAGGCTATCTGGAAATTCTTTGCACTATATTTGAATTTTGAATTGTTCTCTTGTTTTGGAATTATTTCAAACTAAAAAGCTAAAACCAAAAACCACTCACACGTAGGTAAGGGCTATCTTACTCATCTTTCTACTTCTCTGACTTAGCAGGCTTTGGGGATGTGTGTGAAATGACGGGTGGGCGGAGGTGTGGGATTAAGGGGATCTGGGACCAAATTTCCTCCCGCTTCACTAAAGGACTCGTCTACCTTCATGTGTCTCTAAGTCACATCGAAAGTAGGTGTGTTGGCTCATCAGCCTTTGGCCTCCTGCTGCTGTTTGCACCTGGTGTCAAGGTGTGTCACCTGCAGTCCAACATGTGGCGGATGGTGGCAGGCTGCCAAGGGAGTGCTGGCGTGGACTTCCTTCACCAGGGCACAGGGAATTCCTGACAGGCAGGACAGGTAGAGGGAGTTCAGACCACTGCTGAGATGACCATCTAGGGTGATGTTCACCCTTCCTTCAAGCCTCTGCTGTTGTCAGAGAATGGAGTTTTTGACAACCTGTAGTTGTCTTACTTTCAATTTCAGGATGTAGCCACAGAGTAACTAAGCCCTACGATGCACATTATGTGCACCCCACAACAGCGGGGCATGCTGTTATAATCCAGTGGAGAGGGGCAGGTGGTATAAGGTAACAAGGGTCTTTCTGGCTACTTTGCATAACTCAGTTTCTTGAGTAGCTTCCACTTACTCGTATATACTGTTGACTTTTAGCAATGCCACTCTTATAACTGGAGATGACAGACAGCAGTGGCATTTTTCTTTTAAAATACATCGATTGTGACAAATGAACTAGATTCTGCCCAATACGAGACTACCACTGTGGCTGATTATGTTTACATAGGCATGATAAAATGCCTATGTCTGCTAGCAGCCCTGTGATCAACAGTCAGATCATGAACCATCCTAATAAGAAAGCCTTGAAAGGAAAAACTGACCACAACAATTTCTCAGACAGAAAGAAAAAGGCCAGCAGGGAAGCTCCCTGAGGACTGTCATGGTCACATGGTGACAGCAGTCACTTCCTTCTCTCCTGTGACCCAACCCAGTGACCAGCCTAGGGCCACCTCCTCTGGTGCCTTCCTGCCAGCAGCAAGGCTAGACCTACCTTTGATACTGAGCTGTGAAAGTCAGATTCCCTTTGGGAAAAGCTGGAGACACCCACTGTAGAATGTTCTTGAAATTTACTGAATTCATTCTGACATTTTCAGGAGGTGGCACCATTCCCAAAGCTGTGAAAATCAAGAAAAGAAAAGAAAACAAAACACATGCAACTGTTTTCCTCAGAAAGGATGCCCATGAAAATGCCCACATCCCACACTTTGTTCTCCCCTATGGCACATGTCTTCAGTGCCACATGGGTGAAGGAGCAAGAAAGAGACAGGTTAGCTGTGCTAAGGAGTTTGGCTTTTATCTGAAGAGCCATAAGCAGAAATTTCTGGAGGGGGGCAGGCAGGAATGAAGTGGGGACAGAAGGGGACCTGAATTTGGGTGGTAGTTGAAAGATATGAGTGGATAGGATGGGGTAGATAGATTTTAGATATATTTCCGGAGGTATAAGCTCAAGACTTCCTGATATAGTTAATGTGGAAAAGTCGAGGTTAATGTCCATTCCTGGCTTAAGCACCTGGTGCCCTGATTGGGACTGGGGCAGGGAATTAATAAGTCCCACTTTGGGTGCATTAGGTTGGAGATGTTAGAGAGAGGTTCATGCAGGAATGTCAGGAGACAACTGGATGAATGAGCCTGCTGGTCACAACAGAGACAGATGCAGGCTAGAGACAAACTATTTTTAAGGGCTGGATGTGGTGGCTCACACCTGTAATCCTAGCACTCTTGGGAGGCCAAGGCAACAAGAGGATTGTTTGAGCTCAGGGGTTCCAGACCAGCCTGGGCAAAAGAAAGAAAAGAAAAGAAAGAAAGAGAGAGAGAGAGAGAGAGAGAGAGAAAGAAAGAGAGAAAGAATTTTTAAACTTTTTCATAGGAAATTTCTAAACAGACACACAAGTAGAGAGAAGAGTATGATGAACCGTTACCTATCATCCAACTAGTGCCAATAGATACGAGGGGGAAACCCCCAAACCTGGAATTTATAAAAAATTGCTATTTATTCTTACATGTTTAAAGTTCAGTCATCGTCAAAGTACTCTCTGTCTGTTGCAACCTATCGAGATGCTTTTTCCACTACTCAGAACAGTTTCTGAACTTGTTCATTCTGATGCCTTTTAGTGCTTCTGCCGTTTTTTTATTTCACCTCTTCCATTGGCAAAACCTTTCCCTTTGAGGACTTTTTACATTGGGGAAACAAAAAAATTTGCTCAGGGCAAGATCAGGTGAAAAGAGAGGGTGGGGCTGATGCACACTCAGTGCTATGTGGGCAGGTGCACTCTAAATGAGCAAAAGGGTTGAAACACTCTCCAAAAATATTCACTGAAGCTCAACGCAGCCTCTCACAACAATGCTAGCTGGTACACTGATGCCAATGCGTTCCGAGAATACTTACGTAGCAGGGGAAGCCTGTACTACAAAAAGCCCGCCCTACAAAAGATAATTCCGGATTTTTTGGGGTCCCCTCATATGCACTTGAAGAGTCATGGGCCTGTAACGGGTATTTAATGCTAAGGTTCTGTTGACATCGCCCAAAGGAATAGCGTAGGGGAGGGAGAGGAGAGGACTTGGGCACTTAGTTATCTAGAGATCTGGTAGAGGAGAATCCCAAGCAGGATGAGTCTGAGAAGTAGGAGGGAAACCGGAGCAGCGTCTCCCAAGGGCCAGGGAAGAGTTTATGAGAAAGGAAGAAGGGGACCATCACGCTGTTTGAATCTGGGCAGTCATTGTAGAGGGAGGAGCACAGAAAAGGTTTCAACGGATTTAGAACTTAGAAGCCCTAGAACTGGGCCGCTGAGGGACCCAGTCCAGATTTCAGAGTGCTGAGGCCTGAACCAGAAGGTGTGGGGAGGTGTGGACGGTGATGGAGACACTTCTGCCCCGAGGTCTGGCTGTGAGGCGGGCGCAGGAGTGGAGCAGCTACTGGGGGAGGGCCTGGGGGAAGGGGTAGGTGCCTGTCAGAACACATCAGGTGCTGCTGGGGCGCTCCCGTAGACCCGGGACTCCAGGAGGTGGTGATGGCAGCCACGGTGGGATGCTCTGGGCCTTTGGGGAAAGTAACTCAGCACCCGCCAGCGGGGATTTGCAGGAGGGCAGGAACGAAAAAGTTGCGGGGTCTCCCCCTAGGGTTTACAGTCCAGATGATCTGGAGTCCGGGTGCAGGATCGACGTCAGCGGCAACAGCCATGACCGGTATTAGCAGCCCATTGTGGCATCTGAATCTTCTGTCCGGAGGCCCTGGCGGCCGGACATGGCACGGAGTCCATTTCGGGGCGCCCATGGGTGCGATCAGGGGTCGCATCCCGCGGGGCCTCCGGGCTCCCACGCGCGCCTCGGCGGGTCCGCAGGCTGCCGGG